AGAGGATTTTGCTGTATATGTAGACTATACAAAGCTGTTTTGTGTCCTGAAAATCATAGCCCTATTTTTAGATTTCATCTTTATCCAACTGCACATTGTTCATTGCACACACATGCAAAGAGAGAGAGAGAGAGAGAGAGAGAGAGAGAGAGAGAGAGAGAGAGAGAGAGAGAGAGAGAGAGAAAAAGAGAGATGAATAACATCTCACAGTTTGCCATTTCAACCTTCCCACTGACTTGGGCCTTTTAAAGAAGTTGGAGTAAAAGAAGCAAGCAGATAAAAAGTGACAGCTCGCACAAACAGGTCAGAGAGAAAGTTCACTGACATTTAAAAGAGCTTGAGCTCCAGAGCCACTGCTAATGTAATTGGCAGAAAAATCTATAGAGCATCTGTCTAGTTATTATTAACTGTCAGAGGAGTGTTTCAAAGCCTCTTCATTGACCCTTGGGCTTACATTTATTTGTTCAGAATAGTTTTTCACACATTTTGATGGTGATTTAATTTCATGTAGCCTAATAATATCCGGTCAGGGACAAAACATTAGTTGTGTATATGGACTGAGGTAACTGTGACATTTTGTTGGATTTTTTTAGTGATTTTGGAAAAGCTTACATTTGTTTTTGTCTTGATGTATACATGAATGAAAGAGAATTTGTTGTTAAAATCGATATAGGCATCAACCATTTTTTTATTATAATAATAAACAGCGAACTTGTCTCTTTTGGCAACTGAGGCTATATGAGTTTATATGAAAGGGAATTTGGCCGGTAGAACTGAATTATATTAATTGACACTTCAACTAAATTTGTCTTACAACTTTATTCCACCAGATGGCGCAACTATACTAGGTAAAACCATAGGTAAAACATCTGAACAATGTCGGCTCAATCGGAACATTTCACTGGATGCTTAACAACTGATTCCAGAGTATTTGTCACAAGGCAGTCCAAGTTTAGATTTCTTCTGGTGATTCATGTAATGAAAATCAGCAGTTATCCTTTCGACAAGGGAGATAGGGGGCAGTTTTAACACGTTTTGCATTTCCTTCAGTTTCCCAGAGACTATTTTTTGTGGAAAGTTGGAAACCCAAAATTTTAATGTAATAAACCCACGACTATTGGACACCCACCATCGTTGCAAGTAGCCTATGTGTACATACTTCTTGAACAGACAAAGTCAAACGTTGCAATTGATCCCGAGCAGGGGGGCGGTTGCAACAACCCACAGGAATTGTTGCAGCATTCATTAACATTAGCTTTTTTTTTTTTTTTTTTTTTGTAAACATATTAAATGTAAATTGGTTAAATTGTTAAATGTTAAATTGGCCATCTAAATAAAGACTAATAAAAAAAACAAGCAACAACCAATTATCAGGCCTAAAAAACTGAACTGAACATATAAAAAAATATTTTTTTTACTTGAACTTAAACTACTTCTAATAATTGATAAAATAATTATTTTTTCACATTTAATTACATTGAAACTGATAAAATTAAATTGTAATCTGGCAAGCTTTTAAATGAATTCTGTCATGGGGCAGTTGCAACAGCACGTCAACTCTGATTAAACTGTCTATGCTTGGGAAATACAATAGCTTTAACACTTGATAGCTATTCTTGTTAGCTATCTAAGAAAAGAATCAAAGCTAAGAAAAAGTGATTTAAATGATAAGAATGAATAATGTTTTACAAAAACAGATTAGACAGTATGAGAAATTTTCTGAACATTAAAAAAAAAAGTTTCCCCATATAATGAGTTTTATACTGAAGGAATGGTCACATATGGCTGATGTCTCAGATTGAAAGAGGCTCTGACTGAGAACATGTAGTATGGATATCGTCACTCTAGCTCATTCCTGAATGGAGGAACAAGTCTTGTTGCAACTGCCCCATGTTGCAACCATCCCCACTCTCCCCTATGCATGTACACACGTGGGTAGCTGACAAATAGGCAGTTAAAACCTTTTTGTAAAACATCTTTTTAAATATATATATATTTATATATATATATATATATATATATATATATATATATATATATATTATTATTATTTTTTTTTTTTTAATGTAATTTGAAGTTTGATATCTGATAATATCTATGGTATCTGGGGTCACTAACTTTATTAATGTACTTAATTTAATTTAATTAACATTTTTGTTGCATTGTATAGAGCACCTTTAAATATGTGACGTAACGTCTTCACCGTTGGACATTTATCTTAATATATATGAAATTTAGAATAATATATTTTCTCTCCATGACTTGTTGGACTTGTTATTTTCAATAAATGCACACCAAAGGACAACAAAACTTAGTATTTGGCTTCTATATTATTATAAAAACTTTCTATTGATTAAAAAAAAAGTTAATTATGTGAATAATTTGTGAAATTCTGAAACAAAAAGTTGCAAGTGCATGTCATAGGCTTAACAGTGGGCTTTAGTCACATGATCTTGAATGGTGGGCTCCTTCATCTAATTAAAGTTCAATCAGTGAATTGCCGATTTATAACTAACATGTCACTATTTATTTTTGTTCATTTTTATGGATGAAAAAAAAAACAATTGCCATTTACCAAAATGGTCTGAAGTAAAATTAGGCCTGGTGTACTTATTGATGATTTTACAATTTTCTTTTTGATTATAATAGCTGTAATTTATTGAACTGTCCTTGAGACAGTCACACATATAGGACAGTTTTTAGATTTGGCTCAAATAATGTAAAAGATTGATTAACACAGCAGTTTTTTAAAAAGAGTTTAAGCAAGACAAAGAAATGTTTAACCTTTTACTGCAATTTAAATACAAATTTTAATCATTTTTAATTCCCTATACAAATGGCAACACTTACACTAAGGTTGTATTAGTTAATGGTAGTCAATGTATTTGACTGAAATATGAGCAATACATTTATTACAGTATTTATTCATCATGGAAATAAATTTGTTCATTGGTAGTTCATGTTACTTCATGGTGCAATAACTAATATAAACAAGCATGAATTTGGATTTTAATAATGCATTAGTAATTGGTGAACTATCATTAATAAATGCTGTACAAGCATTGTTCATTATTAGTTCATGTAAATAAATATTTTACTAACATAACTAATACAACCTTATTTAAATGTGTGACCAAATAAATGAATGCAAGAATGAATGGATGACTGGTGGTTTCTAATTATAGGCCATTGATTTATTGTAATGCGAACAAGTCAGACTGTATGATCACCTCAAGGTCAGAAACTGACCATTATTTACAGTCTGAGCTTTCTGAGCTAAAGTGAGAAGTCAGCTTGAGTGGAGTCTATGAACAAATTAAGCAATGACAAAAATATATTAAATGAAGGATTTGGTAATGCATCAATTTAGCATTTAAAATGAATGCAAGAACCCTGACCTGACATTTATGACAAATGGCTTTGTCCTGAGAACAAAATTCAACCTTTCAGTTAAAATCTATTATTATAATTGACTATATGCCAGAGTGATGTATTACTTTATTGATTTATTACCTTGTTTACCTTGCAGCATTTACAAAAATATTTTAATAAATAGTTGTTTGGAGGGCATATTATCATTTAAATAAGCTTTGAACTATTAATTAAACTAACATTCATGTCAATTTGTCACCTTTTTATAGTGCATTAAATGACTGAGATAGATTCAAAGCAGCATTGATATTAAATACTGTAGGAGTGTGACAAATAAAACAATATAGCCAAAATCATGTTCAGTCACACTTTATTTTGATGGTTCCTTTGTTGAATGTAAGTTACATTGCATCTAGATGCCAACTAACTCTCATTAGATTATAAGTCGATGGTTCGGTTGGGGGTTCGGGTTAAGTTGACATGTATAAATGTAAAGTGCCTTATAGTCAGTTAAATGTCTGTTTATACAGACATTGTTATTATATTATGGACCATCAAAATAAAGTATTACCCCATGTTTTGCTAAATAAGCTCAAATCAGATCAATGACCTTTCAGTTTAGTTCATTCTTTACAAAAGTTCAAATACATTATTATGGAATATTATGTGCATTTAGTTTTTTTTAATATTGAAGTGTGACAACTAGTCCTAACCTCTCCTATATTTCCCTATATAACTCTTAAAAATAAAGGTTCCAAAAAAAAAAGTGATTTCTCTAAGATGCTGAAAGAACCCTTTTGGGTTTCCAAAAGAACTTTTCAGTAAAGCTGTGAACCAAAAGAAAAGCTTTACTTTCTGTTTTTACTTTCAGTGTAGATTTTCCTTTGTATAGGGAGCATTTTAATAATCTTAAAAGTAATTTCTCCACTATGAATAACGTTTCGTGGCATGATAAGTGGTTGTGAATGTTAAAGACTTCATAATACCTTCATGTACAGAAAGAAAAACAACCAACGTTTACTTTTCAGTTGTATTGCCATTGCACAAATTTATATTTAAAAATACATCAAATAGGTCAACATTATTTTCTTTTACGCCAAAAAAATTCATTAGAATATTAGGTTTAAAGATCATATTCCATGTTGTTCATTTCCTAATATATCAAAACTTTTAATGCAAATTTTCCAGTATTTAGATTTTTTTTAACTCTTAGATTACAGATTTTCAAATACTTGTATCTCCCATCCTAAAAAACCATGCATCAATAGAAATCGTATAAAAAATTTTTTTGCTACTTCAACAAACTTCTTATTTAAAATGAGCTGAAACAACAAAATTCTTAAGAATTGTTTTGGACAACTTAATTGTTTTAAACTCAATACACTGACATTTGTTACGTTAACTTAATTAATTTGTGTTGGGACAATATGAAGGAATTGTGTGGAACTCTGCATTTTTTACAGTGTACTGTAAGTGTAAAAATACACCTATTTTATTTATTCCAATAGTTCCAAGAGCCTCATATTTCTTATGACTGTAATAAAGTCGAGCAGTTACCCTGAATAAACGAACGAAGATCAGAAGCTCGTGAATAAGTCAGTGTCATTCTCTGAATGCATCAGCGCGTCATGCAGTGAAGTGGTTGCGTTTGGTTGCTTTCGGACAGCCATGGAGCCCCGCGTGAGTAACGCTTGTGCAGACGCGCAGTGGAGCCAGCTGTCAGTTCAGAGTCAGCGCTGCACACACACACACAAACACACACGGCCACTCACTTTAGACTGATTGAGACGCGCGTGTGCCTTCAGCTCTGACCGACAGCAGGTAAGTCTCCTGAACGAGCTTTTCACTTCATTATTTCTGCTTTTCCGCGCGCGAAAATATCATGTCATTATTTACGAACAACCAGTCACGAAATGCCATTCAACAATCCTCTATATATGTTGCTGTCATTCTGTCAGTCAGGACGTGGTTTGAACATTATGAACATTTTGAACATGTATTTGTCTTAAGGAAACTGAAATCTAGGATGAATGGATAATGCGTTATGAAATAAACTTTGCGCGCCCAAACGCGCGACACCGAGCGCGGCTGATGGGCTCGAAGAAATGGATCATTATGCAGTGAGGACTAAAGTACCTGCAGGACTTTGACCTGTTTTCGATAAACTTATTGAAAGCACTTAACTCGGGAGTTTGAAGGCTAATAACGCGCAATAATTGATCCTAAAGCTCGAAACTGTCTCCCCTGGGAACGAGAGGACAGCGAGGAGATGCCACGCGAACACCTAGACGATTCCCCTGAATGGGCTTATCTTTCGCTTCAGGATTTAATGGCACATGTCGGATTGTTGAGAGAAGACATTAACGTAATGTGTTGGTGGGCTCAAAGGAAATCTCTTTGTTTCTTATCGAGGTTGTGTTTCTACACCACGCGCGTATTATTATTGTAACTGCTGTCATTCTCTGCGAATTTGTCTTTTATGGCGCTCTATAAATTCCTGGTGCAGACTGAAAATATCAAAGTTCATTTGGTGTCTTCTTTGTAGCCTGAAGGATATTTGGTGCGTGTGTGTGTTAGACCTGATTTCGTCATAGTTTACAGTGGGTTTCATAGATTTCAATATTATGGTTTCTTATGGTTTTACTAATCTACTCGAACACTATAAAGATTTAAGGTATTACATAATGAAAGATTTTTTTCTTCCTCTCCTGTCAGTTGATGTCACAGTGTTTTTTTCATCTTCACCTATTTTGTTTGTGTGTACAGATCTCTACCTTGTCTGGTTCCCATGGTTCCCAATGACTTTATTAGGTGGAGAAGATGTTATGTCATTTCTTTGTATAATTTCATCTCTTATTTTTAAGCCTCAAGGTGTGGGAGCATCTTGCTGACAGATTTAAAACTCGTTTATTTTTGGAAGTTTGAAAAAGATGTCATTCACGTCCGATTCATTGGGCACATATGTGAGTTTCTCCATGGGGCTCTAGAAAGACCACAGTCGATGACCTAATTATATTGTCATGGCAATGGCATTAAAAACCCACTGCTGATTCATTGCATAATCATAAATGTGTTCATTTTATGGTTAATCAATTCTTTTTAAAAAGTTGGTCAGTACTAAACTCTGAGTCTAATTCCATTGAATTTCTGAGCTACCAATAATTCGAAGATTCTGATACACAACAAAATCGTTATGTAATAGTTAACATTATCTTATTAAAGTTATACCAAGCCTGTGTGACTGAGATATTCCAACAATCTTTAAACAGCTTTTTAATTAATTATTTATTCATTCATTCTGCAACTGTTTATACCATCAATGACTTTTAAGCTTGAAAATTCCCTTTGTGGTTATGGACAATTAAATTAATAATCTACTGTCAAATATCACACTCTATTGTCTAGTGAAGCCTCTGTAATGAATAAAATATTGGAATAATGCTGTAATAAATATAACAAGACCACATTTGGACAACATGTGGCAAATGATCTGACTGTTCCACTGGAGACTCATTAAAACGTAAACCGTGAGAATAAGTCTCTTGTCTCATTGACATTTAACTTTATTCGTTTAGCTGAATGTTTTATTTAAAGTGACTCACAAAAGAAGAAAAAAAATAAACATTAAGAAGGTCTTCTTCTGAGTCACATCAGGGTTATTTTATTATTTAATTTTTTGCATGAGGAACAGACCACGGCAGTAATCATTCACTGATTTTTCCTTCTGGTAACTTCTCGTCAGCTTGAGCTGCAAGTGGATTATTGAGAGAGAGAGAGTTGATTGATTGAGTGAGTGACTGATTTGTGATTAAATTGTTAGTCTGATTTCCTTACTAAATCAACTGCTTAATTGAAATGACCTTGCTTAAAAGAAGTATTCTTTCACATGCTGTGAGAGAATTCAGTGTCCTATTTTGGTGTCTACATCAAATTACAATTTACACAAGGGATTTTATGGATGAGCGGCACTATTGCCTTACAACAAGAAAGTTGCTCATGTGAGTCCCAGCTGGGCCAGTTGACATTTCTGTGGAGTTTGTATGTTTGTTTGAGTTTTCTCCGGGTGCTCCGGTTTCCCTCAGAGCGCTATAGGTCAATTGGATGAACTCAATTGCCCATAGTGTGTGAATATGAGAGTGTATAGGTGTTTCCTAGAACTGGGTGGTGGCTGGAAGGTCATCCGCTGCGTAAAACATAAGCTGTAATAGTTGGTGGTTCATTCCGCTGTGGCGACCCCTTGACAAATAAGGGACTAAGCTGAAGGAAAATTAATGAATGGACAAAGCATAATAAAAGCATTGGAGTCTACTTTTATTGTTTTAAAAAACATTTGTGAATAAAAAAAACTCTTAGATGTTGGTGGAAAAGGGACTCATCATTGAGTGTTCTTTGCAAAGCTGTTGAAAAATCCTTCCTAGACTGGTATAAAAATAGCAGAATGCAGAATGTAAAACATAAGGGTTAGTTAATAATGACAAAATTTTCAATCCACTTATGTTGGTCTACTGCTTGAAACAGTTGACAATAAATATTTTGTACTGGTGTTGTCAAATAAATTAATTGTCAAATTAATTGTTGTGAGAACTTTGATCTTTCAACGTAATCTTTATATTTTTATATACATTTATTTTTAATTTATTACATTTCATATAACATTTTTATTGGACAATATAAATGTATATTTAAATAATATTTTAGAAGCTAATTTAATCTTAAATCCTAATTATATTATATTATATTATATTATATTATATTATATTATATTATATTATATTATATTATATTATATTATATTATATTAAATTGTGTAGGCTAAAACTGCCCATTGTGTATGTGTGTGTATGAGAGTGTAAGAGTGTTTCCCAGTGTTGGGTCACAGCTGGAATAATATAATATAATACAATATTATTCCAGCTGCAACCCATCACTGGGAAACATTCTTACTCTCTAATTCTAATTCTCTAATTCTCACATACACCATGGACAATTTTAGCCTACACAATTCACCTGTACTGCATGTCTTTGGACTTGTGAGGGAAACCGAAACACCTGTAGGAAACCTACGTGAACGCGGAGAGAACATGCAAACTCCACACAAAGTAGCCAACTGACCCAGCCTAAGCTCGAACCAGCAACCCTCTTGCTGTGAGGCAACAGCACTACCAACTGCGCCACTGCAGAATCATAGATGACTTAATCATCTTCTTTCCATCTCCACCCTGAAGGGCATTTTTGCCATAATTTTAGAAATTATTAGAAATTATTTTCCAAAAAACTTTAGGTTAATGGTTCTTAAAAAACATTTTTTTCTATTATTCTAATCCAAACTTAATCTATACCGTAAAGAATGGTGCAATGGAAAAGGTCTATGAATGTGAAAGGTTAATGGAATCGCTACTGCCAAAAACAAAACAAAAAAAGAAGAGTGCAGAGAAATAAACTTTAGAAATAATATCTACTCAACTTTTTTTCACATAATATTTACACAACCATTATTCAGTTGATCATTAAAGTGACAGTTTACCCAAAATTAACACTTTATCATTTACTCATACTCAAGAGGTTGTAAATATATACAGTATATACAATGAATTTATTTGTACTATTGAAAACAAAACAAGACACACTGGTGAATGTGAATACTATAGAAAGTCATAGTGGCATCATGGTGGCACAGTGGGTAGCATGATCGCCTCACAACTAGAAGGTCGCTGGTTTGTGCCTTATTTAGGTCAGTTAGCATTTCTATGTGGAGTTTGCATGTTCTCCCTGTGTTTGTGTGGGTTTCCTCTGAGTGCTCCAGTTTCCCCTACAAATCTAAAGACGTGGTATATGTGAATTGAATAGGCTAAATTGTCCATACTGTGTGTGTGTGTGTGTGTGAATGGCAGTGTATATATATATATATATATATATATATATATATATATTTTTTTTTTTTTTCTTTTTTTTTTTTTCTCAACATTATGACTTCCTTAAGAAACTCAAACAGGTTTGGAAAAGATGGAAGATGAATAAATAATGACAAAATACTTATTATTATTTTTGGTTTATCTTTTCCTTTGCTATATTATGCACAATTGGCATTTTTGCACCTAAAATGTCTCTCTTAAAAAAACATTCTTTTGGCATCAGTTATTCGGTACAGTACCTTTTTAATCTATGAAACGTGTGGAACCTTACCATTACACAAAATGTTGTGTATATAAAGTAAATAGTCTATTTGAAATGTAAACGTTTAAAGTCTATTTAAAAGTTTTTCAAGTTTAGAATAACAGGGTTCTTTTAAGAGCCCTTACTCAATGATTCTTTATGCAATTAAAAATTGGTTAAAAATGATTCAGTTTCCATAAAACAACCTTTACTTTTAGGAATATGGATTATTGACACCCAATTAGATAAAAAAAAAAAAAACAAGATGAGGCAATTAGTAATTTTGACACGTCTACATTGCACTAGAGAAATGATACCAATTCGGTTACAGTAAAGTTCAAACGTAACAGATCCAGCACATATCTTTTTGAATAAAACACCAAAATAAATTTTAGGGCAGGGACTTAATTGTTGGTTAATTTAATTGTTGCTATTTGAGAAAGGAAGGTATTTATAAGGATATGATATCAAACTGATATAAAGTTATGACATTTTGATTTAAAACTATGCAAGATGTTGAAATGTTTTTTATTTCCCAAAAAGATATGATATGCTTTTGAAAAATAGGATGCATTTCCATTCCATACCAAATCTAACAGTACCTGTCAGGTTGATATTCAAGAAATTATCAATTCTATTGAAGCAGGACTAGCAAAATCTTAAACATA